AGCTTCTTGGATGTGAAGTTCCTGTCGGCTACAGTTGATGTGGTTGTGACCCTCAAATCAGTCTGCAAACTTCTATTCCTGACAAGTACATTATTGAAAGTACAACGAGAAATATTCACAAGTTTAATTCTTTTTATTTTGCTCAATCGCTAACGTCGTAGAACGTAAGACTACATGGAAAGTGCCATAAGAATATTTTGGTGTGCAGTTAGTTCCTGATGTGTAAAGTAAGAATACGATGCTAGGAAAACGTTCACGTTCAGATAAACGTCTGTTCCTCAATCAAACGCATCACGTCTCAGGAAACGGAAGATATGATTTTTACCTAACAAAAAATATTTACTGTTCTATGTACAAAGTACAACGAAAAAGAAAGTTATTACCGCCTTTGACCGTCACCTTACCACTCAGCAGAGTAAAAATTGCCTGATCTACTTCTGCGCGGATGTGTCATGAACTACAAACTGCGTCTTCCTGACGCCTCTCGGCTGTGTACTCTACAACCTCGTGTTCATAGTTTTATATGCCCTGTGTTTTGTTTCTTTGTTGTTCATATAGATATATAGGCTGTACTTGCTGACTGTGTTCATTTCCATTCTCATCAACCACCAAATAATTGTGTCCATTTTGTACGGAAGGCGACCGAATCGCTAGTTCTGTTTCCTAGTCAGAGATAGCCTTAGTATCATTTTTAAAGGGAAGCAACAGAATAAAATCAGTATTGTAGTTTGTAGTATTTTGGGTTGTCAAGTCATGTCGTTTCGAAGGAATATTGTTAACCATCTACAAGGCGTCACAAACCAGAAGGCCACCGTCGCCGAGAAAACCTTAAATCTCATAAAGTCATTACTGTATGTCTTCGAATAAGACTTTCGTAACATTCGCCGGCTTGGAGGTGTAAATTACACGACCTTACAAGAAAGTGAAAGGAAAAACAAACAATTTACTGGTATATTATTCTGGTCTTTCCCCCCCCAAAAAAAAAACTTATATACGACCAAATTTTAATTACATTCGTTACAAAAATCACATCAGATTTTTGTAAATCAGTCACACTTCCAACATCGCCACCGATTCATGTGGTGGAAAGTGGTAGAGAAGTTTCACGTAGTTACAACCTTTGGTATGTAGGCCATAGGCTATAATGCTTCGTACACACAAATTTTTATCAACGAACAGTACCACGAATCGTACGTGTATCTGACAGAATTGTAGTGTTAAACCAACAATCCTAGTCTCTAAAATTTTGTGTTCACCATATAATAGACCTTTACTCCATTACTGTAGAAACGATATATGTATTTACTCATTTTAACTGAGAGTTCGTATAACCCTAAACCTCAGATTTCATTAACATGTTACGAATGGGTCGCAAAGAGTACAAAATGGGGATAGGATCACAATTGAATGTAAGTTTCAATTTAAATCCTTCTATTGTTCCTTTTGTAGCATTGGTATTCAAGATGTTTATTTAAAAAATCTCCCCTTGAACAAAAGCAATGTCCTCGTTGTTCTAGTCAAATGGGCCAGTGTCTCAAAATACAGTAGACAACAAAATTATAATCTATCTGTGGCGGCTCATGAAAGAAATATTAGTTGTGTGTGTTAATATATAAATTAATTCACATGTTATTTAGGTTTGAGTACAAAACTTACCCAGCAAAAGCTTATTTTATGTCATAAAAATGTAAACATACTTCTTGAAAGCAAATTTAAATGGACTGGAATTTCTCGGGCTATCAGTCGGAGTAGTATGGAATAACTTTCCAACGGTTCAGATACGTTTTCAGGGTAAGCAATTATGAGTGGCCTACGTATGATAAGCAGCCATTTTACTCCGCCCATTGCTACCTATTGGTCCGCTTTGGGCTCCGCGAGCTGCTAGTAAATATATGCAATGAAAAGATACGTCGCCCGTGCTCAGTTTACCATTTTCAGCAATGCGTTTCGTACGTAAGAAAGGTGATACCTAGCAAGGGACGATGTCTTGTGCAGGACTCCGCCGTTAGTTAGCTTTTTTGTTGGTTGGACGTCGCCTGTGGCATAAGTTCTCGGGACAAGACAGTCTCCAAACCGTTGGAAACTAATTCCATGATGAAATACCTGACCGCCCAAGACTTCACTAAATTCAATAGCAAATAGAGCTTTAAATCTTCAATTATTTAAATTTCACCAATACAAAGAAACCATTCTATTATTCTGTTATTACTGAGGCTTTGATGTGTCCTCACATTCAGAGCCATACAGTGGGCCACTTTCATGTCCTGGTTTCGAAAAGAAACATTCTCTTATTTCCTTATACAGAATGAAGATGTGATCCAAAGATAGAGCCGCCACTGTGTACAAATTTTTCAATCACTGGTGTCTGGAATCAAATACCAAGTTTGTTTGCTTTGTTACTCAATGTATTTGATTTTGTGCACTACAGTTCATTGACATGGTTCAGAACAATCGAGGTGGAATGGAAACCTATAAAGTCAATTCCTACGCAAGCATGAATGAAATCGGTGGTTTTTCATAGTTCATTCTGTTTATATTTCACATCATTTTTCACAAGTTCATGTGTTTTCATAGCTTCTAAGTACTGCGTGAATGTGAAGTAATATATGTAATGTCTGTATATATTTGAATGACTGACTTTTATATGCTATGCATGAATTAAATGAACAACAATTGTATTTTCATTATACAAAACAATTTTTCATAAATATAATGTTCAAAGATTTATTTTCATATTTGATTTGGATGGAACTGACTGCTTTTGTTAATTTCTATTGTTAATTACCTTTTGTACAACGAAAACATTGCATGAAAAATAACATAACTGAATGAAAATATACAGTAAATGAGAATTTTCATAAATGCTTGCCTTGTGATTACACCTGACATTCTTTTCATATTCATTACCAAGACCATTCATAGATTTACAAGTATTACACCAAATACGTCTTCCTACACACCTACAAGGTTATTTTTAATAGAGTGCGTTATATAAAACTTCCTCAAAATAATAAAATTTATGTGCAGGATAAAAGGATGTACGTAGAAATAAGCATAGAGGGAAACTAGTCTGGTGGATATAAAATTATAAATAGTACAATCTGATACGAATTACTAATTAGCTCTAGTGATATATGAATAAAGTTTTTTTCATTCTAGGCTTTGGCTGAATTCGAATTTTGATAGTACTTCACAGCAGTCAGATATAAGAACCCATAATGAAAATTAATTGCCTACGTTTATGTTCTCGTACAGAAAACTAGTAAACTCTGAGTTACAGGAAGGCAATAAACTAAGACGGAAGAAGCTACAATTTCCTTGCCAAGTTACGACCCACATAGAGTGCTCTAAACGCAACTAATATTGTTTATCTTAGCTAAATCAAATTGGGTTATGTTACGCCATCTAAAGCACAACAGTGAGTATCTTTCTTACTACAGATTATTAACAACGTTGAGAATTCCAGTTGGATTAATGTTAATTTAAATGTAATAATCGGTGGTGTATTATTGTTCATGTCACAATATGGTAATTTGTTTGTTTACCTGATAGGATGAGGCGATGGATCACTATATTTTCCGGTCGTCTTTGAACTTATCCACTGATAGTATGTTCGTATAAAACAATTTATGGCTAGATAAAAACTTGAACTTATAAAACACTTAACAGTTAACCACAGAAACTGAGTAACAGGCCAAATAATACGAGTGTATGCGCGCGCAGATTGTATACGCAATTGGCATACTAGGTTGCTGAATGCGCAGTTAGTTACCTTTCTCCTCTGCTCCCCTGCCATCAAAGATACTCATCTGTCACAGGTAATGTCAGGGAAATTCTCAGCGGGATAGAATTGAATAGACCAGGTTACTCTTATACAGAAATCAATTATTTATTTATCGATTGATATAAAATTAAACGCCACTTGGTCTCCTACACATTTAAAAATCGTTGAAATTAATCCAAGAAATTACATAATCTTGTTAATTTACGTAGATTCTCTTAAATTACAGGCTACAAAAATCCTATTATAAATCAGGTCTTTAAAATTACGCCCAGAGTAATCACGAGTGCTTGATTTTTTGCGTGGGTGGACTGAACACCTGGGGCCTGTATGTGGGTAACAACGTCATCGCAGAGGATCCCCCAACGTGGCTGAACCACTTGCTCTAGATTCTCCGAGTGACCATGGTGACGTGGGAACTAATCGCCCACCAACTTCCGCGATCTTTATGTAAAGTGTCCATTACCGTTGACAAATTTCAGTTGAACTTCCCAATACCAATGTCCACGAATTATATTCAGCGGTTATCGAATTGTTACAATGGCAGACGCACAGACAGACATAGTAAAACTAAGAGGCGAATTTCTTAAACTTAAGTAGCGAACTCATCTAAAATACTTGCTCTCTCTGTGAGAACAGAATAATCTTGAGCCAGGCTTATAATTATTATAATATTCAGTATTAAAGCCACAAATCTGTCATTTTCTAGATACAACTCGTAACTTTTATAACAAAAATAGAAAGAGCGTAACTAAACATTATTCTTGAACATAGTCGCACATTTATCTACAGTTTTTGTATAACCTAGGTCGTTCAATAGTTAAGCTCCATCCTTTATTTAACTAAGAATATATGGACAAATTTTTGTGCAGTCTGTTACAAAACATGCAGCGTCGCTTGTCCATTGATAACCGCAAGATACGATGGCAGAATACGTACTGTATATACAGACACGTGCACACAATAAGAGACTCAGTGAAAGTTATGAAGGCCGTGTTACTAGAAGCTTTTCAATAGGTAAACAAGCTGTACTTACAATGTTATTACATTCAGTAATGTACATTGAAGGATTTTGGCAGAATGCCCGAATAGTAGGCTATGTAAATAAAATATGACTGGTTGAATGCGTACTAGTGCGTATGCCATTTATATTCTGTAGGCTACAAATTGGTTGGATTTGTTCCAGAACTTGATGTTGAGACGCCATCACAAGAGAGATACATTTTAAGATGAGATCATATAGTACGTAGTCTCCATGTGCGAAGATATGATAGACGTTTGATCTTGACAGATGCACGTCCATAAATACGAAAGAATTTGAACAATTCCGAAGATCTTCATAATATTCACTAGTAATTAAATATTTTTAGCGTTAGATGAGTAGGGCGTGTAGAAAGCAGCACGCATGAGAGAGGTGATAAATGCATATAGAACATTAATAAGAACATATGAGGGGAGCTAATCACGTGTAAGTAGATGAGACGATAACATTAATATCATTCTTAAAGACAGTGCATGAGGGTATAGATTGGATTTATCTGGCTCAGGATAGAGACCAGTGGAAAGCTATTTTTAACACAGCAATTATCCATCTATAAAAGGCGTGAATTTACTGACCAGCTGAGCGATTGTTAGCTTCTCAAGATGGACTCTGGTCCATGGAGTTTAGTTACATCTGTAAATTTGTACAAGAAAGTAGGAGGTGGGTTCACTTCAGATTTAGTTAAATACGTGTATTAACGACCTATGTAAGACGAGTAAGATTTTAGTATGAGTTGTGAAGCCGTGTAGTCTTGTAGAAGGCAGCCTATGTATCACCTCTATCTTCTGTTTTCTTCTACAGCGGTACAATCGGAAAAACCATAATCGATATAAATTATGCCGTATTTGTTCCTGTTCTGGTACGTGCGAATAATCCAAGCTACACTTTTTCTGATCACGGTGACTTCGACAGCGAAACATATGGCCGGCGACTAGAAATTATTGGAGTGAAACGGATCATATTAACTCCACATAACAGCATCCTTGTCGGTAAGCTAGTCAAGAAATGTAACGCTTTTTGTCGAACAAGAGATACTTAAATATACACCACGTCTACTATACTACACGGCTCAACACCCCAGAAGACAATCATCTTCGTAGTCGCAGCCGTGGGAACCTGAATGTGTCGCCACTGCTGCAACTGCTGTAGCCCAAATGCCAGACTGGTCGCCATATTCATCCAAGACCTGCTGGCTTTTACATATTAAAGATTAGGCTTAAATTCAACAATACTAAAATTCAAATAGGCCTATGACTAAAGTATCCCAGCAGCCACTAAATTTTGGACCCCACTCTACTTGCTTCACAATTTGTTTGTTAAATTAAAATAGACAACTTACCACCAACCTTTAACACCAGTAATGCAGTGTATTCCAGAATACTTGGTAATAACACTGGAAATGTGTCGTCCTGTTTGGAGCAGGGCCAAATCACATTTTCAAATGAGTTCATTGTGATATTACTGGCATAAATCCATAATTTACATAATATCACTGTTTCAAAAATTGATTCAAGTAGAAGTTCTGTATTATAGTTGGATCTAAATTTTGTCATATATAGTATTATATACGATAAGCTGTGTTTTAGACAGATTTAGATTTGAGCGTCATTTATACTGTATTAAGATGATAAATTGGATACCTTAAGGTAGCCACTAATACTAGACACAAACGAAATCTGTCAAGTTCGGAGATGAAACATGCGAACGGACAGGATCCATGTTTTAGCTTCATGCATTCCGTGCAAAGAAAGCATGAACGCTTTATTTCAAGTATTACATACAAAGTTAATAAGGCGAGTAGGCTTAGTAGTAATCAAACAGCTTTGAAACAATTGATGTGACAATTTACAGGCACGAGCGTACGACGTACACGTTTACTATCCGTAGTGTCAACGCAAATAAGGACATTAAGGAAAACAATGACAAGCTTATAATTTGTTGTTTCTAGCCCTTTAATAAATTTATATTCCTATTCCGAGGCTTTATATTTTTACATGCCATTGTGTAAATTAAAATCAATGATATTTTTGAAGATTGGTCTATGTTTGAAAGGGTGCAAAAACTAATCTGTCTTCAAAACGTTAACTGAAATCAGAAGTTAAAATTTTTTTATGTAGTTTTTTTCCATTGAATTTAGTGTTTGGAAACCCTTTTCTTTCCACGCTATGCAGAAGACATCCAGGTTATAAGCACTGGCTCTTTGGGTGTATTTGGTTGGTGTCAGAGAAGGGTGAGTCGTGTGGCCTCTCATAATTCTGAACACTTCAAACTATTTCGTCAATAGGAATAAAACGTTAACATGAAAATGTAGTCACAGTAACACACTCTTAAAATAAGAAAGAGCAGTGAAGGGGCTCAGAAATTATTTCAATTTTACAACTACAAAAATAACCTAAAATTACATTCTTGTAGTATTTTTAAATCAACCACTTTTCATTTAGCCCTATACAATAGCCTGATAATTCTAATATACCGTTGAACAATACATAAGCCACGTGAAATCATAAGTTAAAAATCTTAAAACCATATCAAATGGCCTTACAAAGTTCTGCTTCAAAAGTTCAGTTTTTAGGTAAATATGGAATAATGAGTTCATAGGTTACACTTAGATTACTCTTTAATAAAGATATGTTATACAGTGAATTAAAGTAATTTAACAAATTCAGCAGAACTGTAACAAACCGACAGCAATTAAAATTATAAGTAGGTTCAGTAAACAATCCCCACATTTTACAATTTATAAAGATCTATATTTTTATTCATGTATTTCCCACATGTCATACCATTCTACTGTTTATTTTAATATTTACAGTCACCGAAATAATAATATATAATAATAATTGTAATAATAATGAACTTGTGACTCAGAAAGAAATAAACATGAACTATCCACAACAGTAACAAAGGGTGAAGTGAGAAATTAAAGCTAAATAAGTAGGATTTGCGGTTTTCGTGGCAGTGAGCCTGAAGATGGCTGTCTTCTGTAGTCTGGTAGAAGTTCACCGACGTTGCAGAGGTCGTTGTTGCCTCATTCATCAGACTATACGGCGCAACAACCCAGAAGACAGCCATCTTAAAGCTAAATAACTCAACAAATATACCAGAACAAATGTTGCACAGTTCATATGTGTTTATATTCAGGACATGCATACGACTTTAGCACATAAGCAAGAAAAACTAACACATTAGGAATTAAGTACTCAGGTTACACATCATCATCATAATCAGACTTTACGGATTAAGCTTTGTGGTCTGTTCCAATTCAGAATTACTTTATAAAATTATGAAACAATTAAAATGTTTGACAGTGTGATCACCCCACTGCAAGGCCTTTGCTTACACAGGGCAAAAAAATACAGACGAGGACAAAGAACCATGCCTTGCGCGGAATTCTAACTCGCGACCCCAGTACCAGGGAGCCAACGAAATAGACAGGTCCATACATAAACAGGGAAGTAAAAAAAACATTGACAAAGTACACAGCCTATCAAAACAGGCGCACTTCATACACGTGCATTCATTAAGACACTTCAATCTTTGAAGACCATTAAGCGAAAAGAACATCCATAGATAACACATGACGTAACAAACATACTTCATTAGTGGCTATGCATTTTACGTCAAATATTAATCGACTTAATCAACAATTATTTTAAATATATGCAAATTAACATTTTACGACAAGTACAATTTTTTTCATGTGAAATTTGGTCCAAAGTTAATCATTCAATAATTAGAGTAACGACTATAAGCAATATACATATAAATATCCAAAAAAACAGTTGTAGACAGCCGACACGTGGTATCCCTCCAGCTTGTGAGGTCGGGGGGGTGAGCTCACAAATAAATCTTTACCATAGAAGATCAGCATCTTGTGAAATGTTACACAGGGCCTTGGACGCGGCGGGCTCTTGTTAACATCGTAATAAACCTACAGGTTTCAAACAAAAATCTGGAAGTTTCTCAACTATCTGAGCGACTGTCAGCTTCTCAAGGCGTTAGTTACAATTCGACAAGACCCGTTTAGCCACAGTGATGATAATATAAATGAAGGTAGACAGACGAACACGGTGACATTGGAAATACGAACTTATCATGTGTTATAGACACTAAAAAAATGTGGCTTCAATTTAATAAGTAACTTCGCATATACAAAAATCCAACATTAATGATGTTCACCCCTTAAACTGAAATCTACTAACTACATCACTGATCTGTAGTATGAAAGTCTAATCATCTGTTTCTAAATCTCATTTCACATTCATTTCATGACAGATGAACACTATTTTTTCTATTTCAGATAAAGAAATAAGCATTTATTTCATAATGGCATGCATGCTGGGGCTTTGCGTTACTATTCCATTTTCAAAATCGAGGACTGAAAAGCAGTCTTTGATGTTTTGGGGTAAGCGTTATACCACAGATACCTTCTAGATCGACGTCAACGCCCTCTGGTGCCTTGATGTTGAATTTGTGAATGATGGTCGCTCCAAACAAAAACAGCAACATTCGAGCTAATTCTTCGCCAACACACATTCTCTTTCCTGTAGTCCGTAAATAAAAAGGAAACAAATAACTAAATAAGTTCAATGTACAAGCAACAAAAGAATAAAAATAAAAATAAAATAAAATGGATGTATGAAGGTATGGACTGAGAAAGGATTTCAATAATAAGCTCCAAAAGCAGGTCTAAAATCGTGCATAAAAGTGAAAATTCTGTATGTAAATCAAAATGGTTAAAGAGGCGTTCGGAAATATAATTAATGAAGTATCTCACATGATTTTTGTTACCTATTAATTTCATGCGATAGATATTTAAAGGTAATGTGAGATGAAGTGCCTCACCATGCATAAAGAAGTGTAGAAAGATTTAATTAATGCGAACAGTTGAAGACTTTGTGGACTAAGCACATTAACAGACACTATTTAAATATACAGAAATGAGGTTACTTCCGACCCACCTGTCTGAAAGGGGATGAAAAATTCTGGTTTGTTGAATCGTCCGTCGTGTGTTAGAAATCTTTCTGGATTGAAGCACTCTGGCTTTGACCAATAGTTAGGATCCATATGCACAGCCCATTGCAGTGGAACTATCATGGCGCCCTTTGGGATGTGGTACCCTCCTAGGGTAGTAGCCTAAAATGAAACACAATGGAGAGTACACAATGCTAAACAATCAGAACTATCATACTTAATGCGACCAACAAGCAGCATTCTCACCAAATAATATTTCGATTTCTGGACGGCTTTGTTAAATGTAAGACTTGAGGTTCTCACAGTGCCTCCGTCATCAGGGCGATCGCCCTGATGACGGAGGCAGTATGACCTCTGAAACGTTGGTTAGCATCGACCAGACTACACAGCGCAACAATCCAGAAGACAGAAATCTTCATACTCATCGCCCTGATGCCGGAGGCAGTATGACCTCTGAAACGTTGGTTAGCATCGACCAGACTACACAGCGCAACAATCCAGAAGACAGAAATCTTCATACTCATCGCCCTGATGCCGGAGGCAGTATGACCTCTGAAACGTTGGTTAGCATCGACCAGACTACACAGCGCAAGAACCCAGAAGACAGAAATCTTCAGCTTTGTTAAAGTAACAGAACAACTCAGTTATTAAAGACACAGAACTTAACGTTTAATATACTCGTAAAATGAAAAATAAATTCATGGTGGTATATGGAGTGGGCGTTGTAACGGGATTTATGTTCTCACCTCATATGTTCCGTGAGGTATTCCAACTGGGACAACAGATCGGATCCTTTGTGTCTCGGAAAGAGCTGCTTCAGTGTATGGTAGTAGTGGGAGATCATCCAGAGTAGGCAGGCGGGTACCAACAACATCGTCTAATTCTTCCTGTGCCCTCTTCTGCAAAACAATAAATATATTATATTTCCCCGATATTAAATCGCATAAAACGATTCGTTCAGCCGCTCTCGAGTTTTTACATGTTCACAGACGGGCGGACGGACGGGCAAATCGATTGTAATAGGCGGCTCGGGAGGGATGTAAAAGTGCCTATAAATGAGAGCTTCTATTCCGTTAATTCGGCTGCCAATGTCATGTTTGTTGAAATGAAGCAGTATTTGTTGTTAAACTTTATGACAGTCAAGTACTGGCCTCTGTAAACGTAAAGGAAAAAACGTAGAACTGAGAACGATTTCATTTGACACTGGTTGTTAAGGGTAATGGGCAGGCAAAACAATTCCATCTGAAACAGAGGTGTGTCACGAAAGCTGACTTCTAGTGCTACGTGCGTTGCACTACAGAAGAACGGCTGTAGTCAGTCGCACAAAGGTAGTTTATGTACAACAAGAGGACTAATTACCGAATAAGAATATTTGGACTACCTTCGGAGAACAAGAAGAAAAATCTGTACATCAAACAATGGGAGGTGAAAACATATGAATTATTAATCGTGGTCTTTGGGTCGCAATGGCGTTTGGTCTTGTAAATGGTTACTAATTTTCCTCCGAAATGCCGTAACCAAGAAAACCACGATCGACATCTTCAAGACCGTGAGTGCCTAAAGTCCCAGGCACCTAGAAGTGCCTGTTCGTATTCTGCAACTTGTAATCGATAAATGAGATGAAAATTACAGAATAATTCCGACATTTTTACATCTTCGTACAATTAACCACATGCAGTAACATTGCATCTACGGCGACAGTGAGTTACTAAGTACATCTGGCTGTTCATGTTTAACAACTACAACAGGCATATTAAGGCATTATTGTGCGGACTGGCTACATTCCTGAAAAGAAAGTTCGCCACTGGCTTCTTACCGTGCAGACCAGGGTTCAATCCCAGCGACGCCCGCTTCACTTATACCCTGGCACTCATAATAGTCCACGTCATCAGGAGCTGGCAGTCTGAAGCCACAGGGTCACCGGACTTAAAAGTCTCACTTCGCTCCCACCTTCATCATCACCATCACCACCATTATCACGAGCCAGAATAGTTCGGGCAATTACGTCGCTAACTAAAACTGAATCCTGAGACTAAATTCCCGATAGGGGCAGAAATTTATCTTCTAAAACGCACCCGAAACTGTGTAGCAATATTGATAAAGAATATTTCACCTGTGCATCGGGGTGACCGGCCATGAAGAGGATAAACCACCACAGTGTGGTCATGGTGGTGTCCACTCCGGCACCAAACATGTCTGACAGCAGATGGTGCAACTGAGGGGTGCTGTATAAACCATCCTCTCCCTCTCCGCGCCGCTCTTTCTCGTCTAGAAAAGCGTCGATTATATCGTCTATTGGAGAATTTGCTCCGTCGTCTGGGGTCGACTTACGTCTCTTCATGTGATCGTGTATGATGGTCTGATAATAATCATGGGTTTTCACTTTCCCTCCAAGCAAATAATGCATATGCTTCTTATACTTCGGAAGGAACCTAAAGATCAATCATAAAAGAAAGAGATTAAAGTTCATCAAACATGGCAAAGGAGTCTGCGCGCAGACTTCTGTTTCCCAGCAAGCTTTACATAACTAAACAATTAACATCGCAATTTTACGAGCAAATGATCAAGATACTTGAACACAAACCATGCGAACTCATCTGACGTTGTAGGTTTACAAAGTCCAGTGGCAACTTCATATATCACCTGCGTAATGTATTTAAGGATTTCGTATTTTTTTGTGGGGGGGGGGGGATCAAGCACCCCCCTACATATCGCTTTGTAATAGGAGCTTCACGTTTTCTCTGAGAAATAAAATAAACGTTTAAATGTTATTTACATTATCTTCGGGTTCCGTAGATTAAAGCAAACGTATTAAAATGTGATGTGGGGAATTCCTGTTTAGAACGTTAAATTTGATTGGAAAACTGCCTTGTTCCCCAAGAAAATTAATTTACTGACCTTACAAATGGCAGAAAATTTACAGGTCCAGCAATGCCGATAAGTTTTGTGCCTTCTTCCTGGAGACGCTGCAACCATTTCCACGTGGGATCATTTTCTTCATAGACAATACCAAAAACTAATGAGTTTATCACGTTTCCTATACAATGAATTATCACTGGGAGAACGTCCTGAGGTTCCCCTGCAGTCTCCTTTTGCTGAAGCATCTAGAAACATTTCGCAAACAAAACACAAAAAACGTAAAATTGTTCTGTCCTCTTCCCCCTTTTTTACCTTAAGACAGAAGTAGAATAAAAGTTCCGAAACGATGCAGTTTTATTATTTCATAATTTAGACGATTGACAAAGTCCAAAAAAACAATTTTACATATTATTATGAAGCATTGAGAGAAACCTTCAGACTTCGTACAAAAACGATAATTAATGTCTAGCATTAGAAGTCTGACTTATATGGGAAAATAAGTGGTACATTCTAAGAGAACCTGATAATCTCTCAGGCAGCCACTAAATCAACCGCATATCACAGAATCTAAAGGCTCAGGATCGTGGCCACTAGACCCTACCCTGTGCTTTTCGAATCCAGTTCACAGCGTCATTTAATTAATATCCGTTTTAATAGTATTCTCGCATTTTTGCCCATGTCTCCGAAGTCGGTACCTCTTCTCAGATTTTTCGACAACAATTTTGTATAGATTTCTAATCTTTTCCATGTCTTACAAATCCCGCTCATTTCAATCCCCATTTGATCATCCAAAAATAGGTAAAGAGAACAAATGATGGAGCTCCTCATTATGTAACTATTCCTAGCCTCTTGTTATTTTCACTCTTTTAGGTCCAAATATTCTCCTCAGTACCCGGTTCTCAAACACCATCAATCTATGTTCTTCCCTGAAATTGAGAGAACAATTTTCATACCTACATAAATAAATAACTAAAACAGTTTTGTTTAAGAATGAATTGCATTATATCTCCCTCCTCCAGTTGTCTGCAGGGGTGGTAGTTAGTATAAAGAACGACAAAATCATTTTAGCTTTTATGTATTACTTTAGTTTTTTTAGATAGGAGGCGGGAAAAATGTTTCTGAAGTCTGTAGTGGAAGAATTCCCTGAAATTAAACTTCACTTGATTTCTTCCTCAGTGTAAATGTAACTGCCGTTCCAAAGTATTTTAACTTTGGTGTCTTGGATATATAGACAGCGACAGTATAAAAAAGTACTTCGGAAAACATAAAAAGATACTCAGCTGCTATTGCTAAAATATACGTAACCAGTTATTCACTGTCATATGCCTTAATATGAAATCGACTGCATTTCTTACCTCAAGGCACTTTTGCACGCCAACAGATATTCTGTTCTCCATTCTTTCCCTTCTAGCGCCAAATTTAACCATGCCTAAGGTCTTCAGGCATGTTGTAACAAATTTACGCTGGTCTTTCCATAGTTCGCCTTCAGCACAAATCAATCCTGTGAGATATTAATAATATAATAAAATCACTAATCATCATTTATAAGAATATTATACAAATATTTCAACATAATAAACAAAAAAAGATAAATCAGGGATTTCCTTATTTATAAGCTGAGTATCGATTTCATTCAATTTAATATTATTTTTAATTTATCTTCATTTATGTGCCAAATTGTGTGCTCAAAGCTTCATCAGCCTTCGGGTAAAACCTGAGGTGATTGAAATCAGAAACAAAATACTTGCCGTGCCTGGACACGGTTTTAAACAATATCTTCACACATAACGCAAAAACATTAAGCAATTTTAAAAACTAGATGGCGCAAACTGTAAGTACAGAGTTTATTCAAGATATCGGGGCAAGGGGAGAAAAGTATCAGAATTGGGAATAAAAATGTTTACGTTTTAAATGAGATTGCTTTTTTACATTTTTGTATTATTCCTGAAAGTAGCCAGTGACCGAAATTAAGAAATGTTCTCTACCTACTGTGATGTTAAACTACAGTCTAAAGCAAATAAATTTCCCTACGAGACTTTAGAAATGATTACGTATCTGTTTAATTTATAATCGAAATGATAGGTTTATTATTAGAAACCGCTTTATCGATGTTGACACTGGTGCCCTAGTAGAGTTTATCTTTCGTATTCTGCAGCAAGACTTGTAGATAATATTTGTAGTGCGGTAAGTAGCCGTCTATTAATTTGTCTTCCTTATCCACTTGTTATAAAATCTCTTTTAATATTCTATAATTCCTCGACAAACATTCGGTTATTCATAGTAGGATGGCTAGTATACATCATGAACTTTTCTGGTATTTAATGCATAATGTAGTGATCAGGAGGTGTTATGTTTCTTTGTTAGAAACATTTCTTACTTGCTGTCACTTAAACTTGAACTGCACAGATATATCTCGGAAAAATGTTATGTAGTTATTAATAATAATTCAATTCTGTTTTTTTTATTTTATCGTGCTAACTCTGCAGTTAGTCACAAAAATTATACAGTCTACACTAACTAGATGGCTTACGGAACTCGAAGGTTTATAATCGATTTAACCAAAGTCCTCTACTGGACCCTGTCCTGGGCCAACAAAATCCAGTTTCCTTCGACTCCTATCTCCAATAGATCCCGCCTGACATTATCCTCCCATCTATGTCTAGGTCTCCCCAGCGGTCTCTTCCCTTCAAGTTTCCCAACCAGTACCCGGTGCACATCTCTTGTCCCATCCATGCGCGCTAGATGCCCAGCCCATCTCATTCAGGTTCTTAGAAATCAGACGGGAAGACAAAATATTTTGAACTGAGAAGTAGCAAGCATTTCCAGAATTTAATCTCCTCCTAACTTCCTCATGAGTGTCATTTTCATTTGTTTTTGTTGTTCCCAGATATTTGAACTTTGTAACCCTTTCAAAGGACTTATTAGCTACCCTAAGATAATTTTGCCCGCCTGTCTTCTGATGACGAGATACTAACATGTACTTAGTGTTTTCTGGATTTACTTCTAGCCCCACCTGTCTACTAGCCTCTAGTAAAACGTGTTTTTGACCGAAGGGTCATAAATGTTTTAAAAAATATTGCGAGATGATATGTTTAACTAAGTTATTTTAGATCAAACTAAACATTCAATTGTCAAGTTACTTGAGCAGCGGTTGATTACCTCTGCGCAGGTCAGAACTACTTACACCTTGACACAGTATCCGGGTTTCACTTTACACATGAAAAAACTTAAACAACCAACAGCGATCGTATTAGTGAGAATTTTTACGTTTTACAGTGAAACTTTAAAGTAGATTTACGAGTGTAACTATGACGATGTAGCATTATTGAGAAAGGAAAGCCTCCAGCAATTCAGGTCATATACAAATTGCAGTGGCTAATATCAACACCTCAAAACAAAGATACAGATGTGTACTCCTGTAGAGTACACGTTCAAAATGATTTGTCTGTTATTTTTTATATCTCACTATCCTTGAAAAATACCGACTGTAAACAAATCTATTGTTGTAAAGATAAACACACGACATATATCATAATTTACGTACTCAGATATAATATTTATTTTTACTTCGTTAAATATTTACCACACTGAAGAATGTTTCAAATAAAATAAATACATCTTAATTACACTTGTGTTTCGTGTGTTGCAATTATTTTATACTATGAGCAGATTTTGAGAAAATAAATGTAGTTTTATCTGACCTCGGTGTTAGGTGGTGGTCATATATTGGAGTGACACAAAATTAAATTAAATTCGTCAAATTCCAGTATGTAACCTAAAATAAAATTTGATTTAAACACATTGAGTAGTATCAGACATTAAACATGCTGACAGATAGATAAACGATTATGACTTCGACATTTTTCATTCATTTTGTGCGCTTCGAGAAACGGTAGATAAAAAACTTGAGAAAGTCTAAAAAAGCTGACACCAATCCTTGTTTTATATTATTTATACCAACTAATGAAATATTTGAAAACAGAAAGTAATGCTAACGATTATTACCAAATGCTTTTAAATTCATTAATAGGTTTTCACATACTTTCTGCAGAAAAATTTAAAGGTTTCCAACAAATATTTTATGAACCTGTTACGTCGATGCACAATTATAATTAAAACAAAAGAAAAAGAAAGCAAGAATGTGACTAGCAGCTCTGCGAACATCATCGCATCACAGCATCTGTGGTGGACCACCAACGTCATAAAACAAAAACGAGAGAAAAATCATGCAAAAAAAGAAGAAGAAAATTAAAAGGATAAACCGGATGTAAAGTCGGCATTTGTGTAGTTTTGTTTTGATACGCTTCCCGACCTTGTACTTAAATTGGAACGAAGGTGTGTTGTGATATCAACAGTCCCACTCCGTCAATTGGCATTCTGTTCACGCCAAAGTAACTTTAGTCAATTTCGGTTAGACAGGTCAAGGTATATCCAGGTTGGCAAAACAACAGCCACCTTGAACAGTACAAGAACAATGTTGCCTTTGAGAAGAAAACGTTACATGAGCATGGCGTGTTAAGATCTTTAAAGAGTTTATACGCTGCTAGTCAACAAGAACCTCCTCCTTCATAGCTTCTTTTTATTTCGGTTTGTTTGGGATGAAATTACGCAGACGAAATATTCTTGAAGAAGTCTCTTTGAACGTCACCTGCAAGGCTGAGTCGAAGACTGGATTATGACATTAAAACTGATTTTACATAAAGAATTGATAGTGAAAACGGATGGAACTGTCTTGGTTCATGATAACGCCATGTGGCAGATTCTTGTTTCAGCAGTGTTAATCCCAGGGCTATGGAGTCGAAAGCAATTTTAGGTGGAGTCGGTAAAAATGTACCGACTCCGACCTCGATATAAAATCTTAAGAACAATTTCTATACCCTGTGAGCCGCCGGCGGCCTCACACTTAGAGAGATTCAGTGACGCGTTGAGCCACATGGTGTGGGAATAATGCTTTGTAACTTTGGCTCCGGTACCTTAAGATTACAAACAGACTACAAATCAACCGATTGTCATTAGACGTATATTTAAATATAGGTTAAAGTCTTAAATGTAGGCTGATGATTCACGTGGTGGTGATGAAATCTCTTATGGTGCCATTTACCATTTTAATAGGTTTACCCTTATTAATACATATTGAGCTTTTGTGAAGGAGTCGGAGATTTTAGTAACGACTACACAGTCCTGGTTAATCCTTCTGGATCTAATATCATAACTAACTACATACTGTAGAGTCCTTCGTGAGAAACCTAGAGCCAATAAACTCAACAATAAAACCTAAAATCCTATTCTATAACAAATGCCTCGCCTCCTTAAAATATTAAAGTGCTTTATCGTGTTAACACTATCTCGCCATTGGGAGACATCATAAGGTAGCTGGGTACAGACTAAACCCTATATCTTCAAAATTCATACAGATTTATCCACCTACGGCAAAATCTCATATACTGGCTCTTCTCTTCTAATTTTTCACTAGAATTTTGTACATTCTGCTTCTCATTTCCTCACGCGCGCGAAATATCCCAACCATTGACCTAAACTTTGTTTCATCAACCCAGTATTATTTTGTGAGTAACAAATGCTTATAGTTTGCCCTCTGTATTTCACCCCATCTTCCAATTATCTCCTCTCTGTCGGGTGCAAATGTAATCAAACAGGTGAGATTTCAGGTTCTTAAGGCGGCGAATATAAATATGGCTTTTTTCTGGGTTGTTGCGCTGTGTAGTCTGGTAGATGTTTACCAACGTTTCAGAGGTCAAACTGCCTCCATCATCAGGGCGATGAGTATGAAGATTTCCGTCTTCTGGGTTGTTGCGCTGTGTAGTCTGGTAGATGTTTACCAACGTTTCAGAGGTCAAACTGCCTCCATCATCAGGGCGATGAGTATGAAGATTTCCGTCTTCTGGGTTGTTGCGCTGTGTAGTCTGGTAGATGTTTACCAACGTTTCAGAGGTCAAACTGCCTCCATCATCAGGGCGATGAGTATGAAGATTTCCGTCTTCTGGGTTGTTGCGCTGTGTAGTCTGGTAGATGTTTACCAACGTTTCAGAGGTCAAACTGCCTCCATCATCAGGGCGATGAGTATGAAGATTTCCGTCTTCTGGGTTGTTGCGCTGTGTAGTCTGGTAGATGTTTACCAACGTTTCAGAGGTCAAACTGCCTCCATCATCAGGGCGATGAGTATGAAGATTTCCGTCTTCTGGGTTGTTGCGCTGTGTAGTCTGGTAGATGTTTACCAACGTTTCAGAGGTCAAACTGCCTCCATCATCAGGGCGATGAGTATGAAGATTTCCGTCTTCTGGGTTGTTGCGCTGTGTAGTCTGGTAGATGTTTACTAACGTTTCAGAGGTCATACTGCCTCCGTCATCAGGGCGATGAGTATAAAGATTTCTGTCTTCTGGATTGTTGCGCTGTGTAGTCTGGTCGATGTTTACCAACGTTTCAGAGGTCGTACTGCCTCCGTCATCAGGGCGATGAAGATTTCTGTCTTCTGGGTTGTTGCGC